TTGTCCGGAGGGTTCATTGTAATGCAACGAAGCTCGTTTAGCTCCCTAATGGTACATTTATGGCGATATGCATAATCCCATACATGATGATATGACCTGAAAATCGGTTACTAATAGTAGTCTTATTAAGACAGCGAACTTTGGTACCTACTCATCATCGACGAACGCCCCATGATTAAGGAGGAACTTCACGGTCTCAAAATTGTGCATTCCGCCGTAGAGTGCCCACTAATATTGCGCTTAGTAACATCTCGGCAACGTGGTAATTAATAGCCGGAAGGTGATGAGACCTACTCTTACTAAACTAAATTCCCGAGTATTGCTCACGGCTGTCGGAGCAGCGAGTCCTTGGCTAAAAAGTAACTTCAAGCCGTCAATGTTTCCTTCTACAGCGAACCGAACTGACTGTGCAGAATCTGGAACCTTTATTTCATTTCGTATTTGAAGTGGCGGCCTCATATTGCTAGCAGGCAGAACCATGGTGTATTTGCGATGTCGGTGCCCTTGTCTTGCCCCAGTCTCAGCATAATAAGACCTATCGAGATTCTGCACGTTTGTTCTTCCGCTACTATCAGTGCGGCCCTGGTTAGTAGCTAATTATAGTTAATCTTTGTATTAAATAGAGTACGAGGATGGATTTTTACCTGCATGAAAAGAATCGTATGTTACGTTCTCAAAATGTGCTACATCCGCAACGTCCAAAGGTTCGACACAATTTAGGCACGGATAAACAATATGGATTCCTTCTATCGATGATGGTAGATCTGGCAAATCGTAACCCAAAGTACTGTATAGTTCGACAAGCCTAGGACCTTGTTAACACTATGTGTTTGCACTTAATTGGGACTCGCACGGTATTGTTATCCCCACTTTAGCCCAGTCTAGGTACGAAGCAATGAGTCCCGGAATAGTATAGCTAGGACTCAAGCAATTCTCGTAACTATAATTGACGAAGATGTCCTTAGAAAAGTGTTCGAGAATAGATTGGAAATTTCCATCACTTCGAATGTGAAAGAGGTCAGTAGTGGATAGAGCATCTGTAGACTGGCACGTTAACGCGTCGTTGATAAAGAGGACATATAGCATACTTATAAAGAATAGCTCCGACGCTCGTTGAAGTGCCCAGCCACTGCGAACAAGCCGAACAATTAGCCGATGAATCCATGGGATTGTGTCCAACAGCTGGTTCCGATCACGCTCTCTTAAGGGTGTGACAATTTTGACGAGGTCATCGACTTCTTGGTGAGAAAAGCCCTTCTTCCGGAGCACGTGGCAGTAAGAAAGAAAGATAAACACGGTAAAATATGCGAATGACCTCTGCAGACCTAACTCCTGCAGGGATGAAAGCGTAAGAGCAGCCAAGTTCTGTCCTGCCACAACGAGGTCGTTTCCTGACTCTTGGACATAAACAGGGCTTTTACTTTTGGGTGAAAACCCTGCACGCCGAGAAAATGCTTTAACAACGTTTTCGTAATCTTCTTCTGTATTGAGTCCCAAGGCCACCTGCTTTGCACGCCATTTTCTTCCTTCTGGTGCATTATGAATGAATCGATTGTATGCTTTAGCGCTCCGTGACATCTCTGGCAGCCAATTTCTCGATACTGTTTGTGATGGGGTTTTTGCTGGTCCCGACCGTGGTGACTGTGAGTGAGACACTGTAGACAGCGTTTGCGAAAGCGGCCGCAGCCCGATGGCATCAGTTTCAAGCCGTGCAAGCGCTAGATGGTTGGTCGAATGCTCTTCTGTTAGCTCAATGTCTTGTGGAGCTCTTCGTTTCTTTGACGATGACTTTGTTGGAAAGCTGAGTTGTTCATGGGGAGAAGCTTGTAAAGAGTAGTTGAAGGCACTGCAATTCTCGCAATGGTTTCGCATACGGTTAAAAAGCTTAGATGGGACTGATACGAAGCTCTCTGAAGTCGCCGTATGGAGCATCTCGCTCTAGGTCGATGGTGTAGGTCCCAAAACGGTCTCGTAGGTGTGTGTATATATGAGAGAGGTCTGAGGTGTCCGTTGAACAGATGAGGAGAGAGCGTGCTGAGTCATCCCACATTCGATAAGGCGCGGAAAAACAATCTTCCAGCGAAGCTTATCAAGTTGTAGGGACGCCATGGTGCGTTATGTCGTTGATACATACAGTCGACTCCCTACTAACTTTATTTAGTCCGGGTTCCCATTCATCGCTCTCGCTCCGAGGCAAGTCTCTAGGCTGGCTCAGAGCATCTTCTGGTGTGACAAGCCGGTCGAAGTCGGCTAGGATCTGACGAAGGTTCTCTACCACGGCTTGAATCTCTGCTGCAAGGAATGATTTTGCCTGGCAGCTTGACCAGAAGCGGTCTCGCTCCCACTGCAACTCTTCTCGTTCTTCACGGTCATCGATGCTTGATCCGAATTCTCAGACAAGGCGTAGTGAGAGAGAATCTCCGTATAGGCATCTCCTAGCTCGCGGTAGCCTCCTGGCAAAGGACGCAAAGGCGTCAGTTCTCTCGGTCTACTTGCATTCGACATCTTTTCTCTTCTTTTCGGATGGTGAGCAACTGGAGAATTGATCATCTTGAAGGCGTCCCTAGGGATTGTGCATCGGGCTACAATGGGATATCGTATGCACAGCGGACAGCTATCCCAATTCCTCAATGGAGGACAAGTTCTAGTGCGGGGTCAAAACACATATCTAGAAGGCAGGATGAAGTTTAGCATATCCTTGTATCAGGCTAGAAGTCCATTCTTCTTTGGAACCCTCCCTGACAGTGTTTCCGGCTACCAAGATATCACGAACCAACTAGCTCAATCATTCCTCCATGGACGATGGAGCCAATCAACAGACATAATTTGGCAATAGTGCCGCTCCCTAGTCTGACGAAATCTTAGTGATGTGATTTTTCCGATAGCTTAGTAAGGGCTGACGGCTCTGGTACGATGGAGAATGACATGAGAAGTTCCATTGCTCGCTCGTCTGGGCTCTCCAATTGCCGTACAATCTCCTCGGCGCTTTCAAGAATCGAGATCTTGTCCTGTGAGCTGCGAGTATCTCTGTCGCGTATAGAGCATATTAGAGACTCTAAACTGAGAGTCTCGGAGGGCGAGAACCCTGCTGCTAATTCACTTACTCCCCTGTGTGGTGAGTGGGGTGTTTTGAATGTCACCTCATTAAGACGGCGTGTTGCTTCAAGAATTCGTGCCTCTGTAGTCATGTTGTCTAGAAGGTGGCGATAAACTCCTGGGTGGTACAAGAGTTTCTCAAAGATAGTAGAAATAATCACTAGCGGACGCTGTGATTGATGGAGAACAAGCACTGTATTGTTTACTGAGTCCTCCGCCATAGCGCACACTGGCGCCATTGTTTACTCGCCAAAGTCTTGGCAGTCTAGAATCCTGGACAGCAAATTAAAGACAGTCGAAAGGCTCACTGCTGACCAGCTTAGTAGATCTTGTTACAGTGCCGTAAAGTACGAAGACTCGCCTAGAAGTCGGTCCACTGGTTGCCTGCTTACTGAGCCTCAAACGTCGATATCCCAGAGAGGCGTCCTGCGCGCCCTGTAGCTCTCATCACTGCAGGAACCAAGAGAGGGCGTGTGGCATCAGGCATGATCCATCGATACTTCCCACTGTGTGCATGCCCATTTCTCCATCGAAGGATCACAGAATTCGCTACGGGTCGTCCACGGTAGATGGCAAAACTCTCGGAGATGGCGTCAATGTTGAGTAGTTATTAGCTTGCTACGTCTTCCTACAGCTGTCCTACGTCACGACAATTAGCTACTTATTATTGACAGCGTGGGCTCGGAAGTTCTTGGTTTTCGCCTACGATGATCGCGAATCATCTGGATTGTATGCCATGACCTTACCGAGTTACCTCGCCCAGCAGCTCTTCATGTAGCTCAAGGGGTGGTCCGGTGATAGTGGATGGGGTTAGGGACAAATACCACGATCGCTGACTGCACCCATGGCCGCTGCCAGGGCAAGGTCGACTCTTACTTACTCTAGTGATGACCTGACGCGCCTCTAAACTCGAACGAAGGGCAGTAAGCATCTGGGAAAAGCTATCCATGGCCTACACACGGAGTAGCCGCACGTCCAAGCCCTCAACGGTCGTCATGCCGTCAAAAGAGACTACTCGCCACGGATCAGTTGTGCAAAGAGGGGCCGGCAAGAGCCCACAAATTACAGGTGATTGAACATCCGCTTGTTATAACACAAGGATTGTCGGCCCTCATGCGCCATAACCGTCGCCAACCCTGCGACGCAGCGAGAATAGTGTAGCCAGCCTAGGTATGTCGTGCTCGCCACTCCTGATCATTGCGGTTCTGCGAGCCTCGCCCCAGGCCGGTTGCCGGGATTCTTACCTGGGCATACCGAGCAGACGCATAAGCTGCTGGATTTACTCTCTGCCACTTTAGCAGAAAGTCAGCCTATGCCCCCTTCTCTCCTACTCCGGGTACAAATGTGGAAGGAAGCCCTTATTCTTAGACTCTACGACCAATGGAAGGAAGCTAAGACTCTGATAATAGTGCTGGATGGATAACGTATGCATTAGTGCCTAGCGTCTAGAGACTCGCGACTCATCAAAGGCGGCGGAAATATGTTTGGAGCTTGGGCTGGAGCACCGACCCGGGTCATAGGAAATGGTAGCAGATATGATAAAGATGTCGTTGAATGATAAAGATGTCATTGATTTGATAAAGATGTCGTTGATTTGATAAAGATGTCGTTGAATGATAAAGATGTCGTTGAATGATAAAGATGTCGTTGAATGATAAAGATGTCGTTGAATGATAAAGATGTCGTTGACCATAAACCTATTAACGAGGTAGAAATCTCGTCAATAAAATTACATAGCACCAGAAACGTTCCAAGCCGACCACGGTATAGTATGGGCCGCAAGTGACATTCCGGACTCGCCCAAGTAGATACGTCATATCATGGAACCTAGCACGAAGACTGCATCCCGATCAATCAGAACTCTTCTCGGAGCCTGACCCACCAGTCGTTTGCGCACTGTACAACAACAAATTGTGTGTCGAGAATGATGAGAAGGCCATCCAGCCCGCTTAATAGTATTTTTAGAGTCTTAGCACGCTCTTTGTAGCGTTGGACAAGTTGATGCGATGGCAGCTGTGGCTATTGCAACTATCGAAGATCCAGAGCGCGAGGCATGGCTCAGTAAGGGCATGGCTCAATAAGGGCATGGAGCTCGACTCAGTGATACCGACTCAGTACTGTCATGGCTCAGCATATTAGTTTGGATACTTTAAGGTATGTTTTCTATACTACAAGTTTCATTCCGTAAGGGATTATCTCAGCATGAAAGCATCACGCTTTACAAATAATTTACACGCCAGCTGTTGTATACTATTCCCATTTGGCAGTCTAATAAAAAGTTGACGCATTCGCGCAGGCCCTCACAGCTCCTCATTCTCGTCAATCACATGGTAGCGGGGCAAGAGATGGCGGTCCCATTTTGAGTCATTGAACAGGCACACCTCTACTGTTCGCTGGCTGGTCGCACGGGCCTTTCGTGGTAGGAATCTGCCTTGCTGGGCGCCATTCACGAATGACCGGCTTTTTGGATCTAGCGTGGATTCTTGGTCGTTACGTGCCGCCAGGCCTATGGATTGAGAAATGGTATCTCGTTGTCCCCCGACAAGCTCTGGGGCTGGGGGAACTTGGGAATCTGGCAACGAAGCAGATTGAGCAAGGCCCGAAGACAGCTTACGTCGCTTATTCGGGTCGTACACTGACT